CACTAGAGGGCACTAGAAGATTTTTTAAAATTGACTTAGTTACTTTTAACACATAAGTGTGAAAATCCATTAACCAGTGAAGAATATTGGTATATCACTACACGGACTGGTATTGATTTGTAGGTTTCCTTGCCACATCTTAATCCCTCCTCACCTTTTGTGCTCACTGAGATGTGAAGAGGCTATTTCTACCATTTCAGGTGGGCAAAGATGTACCACATGCTCTTTGCTATTTTTTCTGAAGCTAATATGAAGGGATTCAGAGATGGAGTGGGGAGCAAAAAGGTCACAAAGGTAGGGTGGGCTGCATATAATTTCCTATATATAGATACTTACATACAATATTGGACATTTTACAATAGCCTATAAAAATTCTAATGTAGTTTGATGCATTAGCCGTTGGAAGGAGCTGAGATGATGTGTAAGACCAGCAAATTAGTATTTTTAAAATACAACTTTAGTGTATTCCCATTGATAAAGAAGGCTCAGTACAATAATTATTTACTTCATTTGTATCTTTACAAAGTCAACTTACATTTATATAGTATACATAACAGAACATCTCAAAGTATTTAAAACTGGACATCAAGTAAGAAATGCAAGGATCTCAGACTGACTGAAGCTCTGTTGATGAGAGAAGCTCCTTGTGAGTTCCTTTTAAGAAGCTCCCTCCAAAGCGCTCTGGGACGCTGCCTCAAATGAAGGACGCTATATAAATGCAAGTTGTTGCTATGTCTGAACAGATCATTAATGTATTTGTAAAACTTTCAGAACCCAAAATAACTGGAGACAAACCAAGATTGTGGTCCTGGAGTCTGGCCTAAAGTTGAAATCTGGTCTTTTACACGTCTGAGGCCAGAGGTGACATTCAACACATGTGGAAACGTTTTCATGTCGTCGAGGCATTCGCACAAACACAGAATGAACTGCTTCACTCAATCCAACTCAGAAAATTTATGTTATTGAGTCAGATCTGCAACATAGGAGGCAACAGGATACCGGATTTAGGGTCGTGTCTTGTCACATTTGTACTGCTCTAGTCTGTGCTGCCTCCTGGTCGCATTTCATCTCAACTCCAAAACGAGTCAGTTTCTAAAGCAGCTGTTAATACTGTGACTATGAAGGGTTAACTATCACCACCTCGATTGCTTATAATAAATAATTTTACGTTTTGAAAACATGTAAACCAGCTAAACAATATTGGTTCAAAATGCTTAGCGAGCACTTTTGGGATTACCACATCTGATAATATGTTTTCTGAGACCATAATCTTCAATTAAAAAAAGCTGCTTCAGGCAATAAACACAAATAACACACCTTTTTAATCACAATTTTTTCAATAGGTATGATTTGGAAATAGTCCTGTGCCTTTGTTTAGATGCAAGACATTCATGTATGTAACTAAAATTTCATCTTGGTGTCAGCCTGGCTCCATTGGGAGCTCTCCTTCCTCTGAGTCAGAAGGTTGTGGGTTCAAGCCCCATATCAGGATTTTGAACTCCTATTGTCTAGGTTGATACTCCGATACCATAATAAGGGGGTTACTGCATTGCCAGAGCTTCTGTCCTTCAGATGAGATGTTAATGTGAGGTTCTCTCGGTTCAGATGAACGTTAAAGATCCCACGGGACTATACAGAAAGAAACAAGTTTGTCCCAGTATGCTGGCCGACATGTTCCCAAATAAAATGGTCCCCTTGATTTATAGGCAAGCGAGCCTTCAACTTCTGCCTGCACTCTCTGGATAATAATACACATTAGGAAGATATCTCAAAGGACTTCACATGTTTTACTGAAAAGTTTAGTGACTGTGTATTTGGAAACACAGACGCTCAGCTCAGATGGGACAACTTTAAAGTGAATAATGTCAGGCCTCACTGAAAATTCAGAACAAAGTACAACAACAAATTCCACTTGTATAACACCCTTCACGTTGGAAAGAAGTCCCAGAGTGCTGGACAATCAGGGATTTTTGGACCCGAGCTGGGAGTTGGAGTCAGGAAGGGTGGAAGGCAGTAGTAATACAATTGTACTATGCCTCATTTTTTATGTTTATGTAATATTTATTTTAAAAACATAAATAAACTTTTAAAATGTATATTTTTGAGGCATCTTCTGTTAAAATATACTGGAGCTGGACCTTTCTTCTTGCTATCCAACATATTAATTCTGAGAATTTTATGCAGAGCAATATCCATTCTTCAAACACCCCCTGTGAAATGACAGCAGTTGTCGGCCTACTAAATTGTCTGCTGTCAATTTAGGTTCAGCATTGGCTTATTTACTGGATCAATACAATATTGCCCAGAGGCTTTAACCTGTAAAGATCACAGTCTATTTATATTTGAAACTGTCTTTATTGATGAGAGATAGTAATATTGCTTGAAAAGTTAACAGGGATTTGATAAAGGGGTGCTGTCACAGAATCAGCTCTCTACCATATGTCTTCATGTTGCTGCTGCTACCTCGTGCCATGCTCAGTCTTGGCTACTCAATTATGTGGCCACAATTTACATGATGATATGACAAGCTGAACCCACAATTAATATTTCATATATTTTTCAATATGAGAGGCTATATATTTTTTAAAAATCCATGTGTTAAGAGGATAGTATATATTTGGCCAGATTTTTATTCTATCTTGGGCTATTAACAGTGCGTTGTCACTGGTGTCCTTCAATGGCTTTTGTCAAAGAATCAGTTCGATATGAAATAGTCTTGTAAGTAAAACAGAAAAGGAATGACTACTTGACTGAATGCTGAAGAACCCCTCGCCCTCCGTGCATCAGCATTGTTACAGGTGGTGAAAAATAATAAAATATGTACAATATAATCATTTAAAACAATATCAAAAAGGTCTGTGACTTTTCATATCCCCAGTATAATGCAAGCAATGGTGGCTTGGATATTGCTAACGTAAATTTTTTTTGTGTATTAGAGGTAGTTCACATTCAAGAACGTAGTGGGCCAGAGCACTCAACTCATTTAAAAAGCAGCTTGATGCTGTGATGGGGAGTGGGAAACGGAAAGATGAGATTGGACAGGCCAAAGGACCTTCTTCATCCGAACTGATCTTGTGAAAAGTAGCTCAGCCTTGTATAACTGAGCAAACCTGTTGTTATTGCTAAATGCATGCCATTCGCTCCCTCCCACCCCCCAGCCCCTAAACAAGCTGAGGCAACAAAGTGTAATGCTCAAACTTGTTTGGGGAGTTTCTGTGCCACATCAGCCTATTGCAACAGTGAGTTTGGTTTCATCACTTATGAAAGAAGACCAGAGAACATTGATTGTGTACTCAATAAAAACTGCTTTGCACAATTTTGTTTTGCACAGCTACAAATTTTACATTGTCTATATATAACAAAAAACTTTCTCGCCTCCCTCCTCCCCCCACACACACTTTTCTAAGAAAAACCTATCCCAGGCAAATGAATTGCAAAAGAAAACCAAAACCACGAGCACAAACAGTTGATAGTTGTTGGGCAAGTTTCCTTACTCCACATTGCCTCTGTTTACCTAGCAGTAAGTAGGAACCCGGTTGCTAGTCGATTGGCGGATTGCTTTTCCGGGGACGATAATCCCTCAAAAAAAACAATAATAATTTGGCCACTTCAATCCACAACTATTTGTGGGACACTGCTGTGTGCAATTTCGCCCACAAATATACAGTCAATTCACTGTATTACAGTATAGTCTGTGAAGCGCTTTGAGACGTCTCGAAGACATGGAAAGCGCTACATCAAATGCAAGGATTATTTTACATTAGATTATATAGAGAGGGAGGAGAGGGAGTCAGCAAAGAGCTTGTTTGATTGACAGCTTGTGGCATGGGCTATGCAGCCACAAGGGGCGGGGCCCAGGAAGAGTGCCCCGGTGGGGAGGGGGGGTGCCCAGGTAGGGGGGCGGTGCCCAAGTGGTGGGGAGGGGGCGGTGTCCAGGTGGGGAGGGGGGGTGCCCAGGTAGGGGGGGCGGTGCCCAGGTGGGGAGGGGGTTGCCCAGGTAGGAGAGGCGGTGCCCAGGTGGTGGGGAGGGGGCGGTGCCCAGGAAGTGGGGCCCGGGAGAGGGGGTGGTGCCCAGGTGGGGAGGGGGTGGTGCCCAGGTGGTGGTAGTGGTGGGGAGGGGGTGGTGCCCAGGTGGTGGTGGTGGTGGGGAGGGGGCGGTGCCCAGGTGGGGAGGGGGCGGTGCCCAGGTGGTGGTGGCGGTGCCCACGTGGGGAGGGGGCGGTGCCCAGGTGGGGAGGGGGCGGTGCCCAGGTGGGGAGGGGGCGGTGCCCAGGTGGGGAGGGGGCGGTGCCCAGGTGGGGAGGGGGCGGTGCCCAGGTGGTGGTGGTGGTGGGAAGGGGCCGGTGCCCAGGTGGGGAGGGGGCGGTGCCCAGGTGGGGAGGGGGCGGTGCCCAGGTGGGGAGGGGCGGTGCCCAGGTGGGGAGGGGCGGTGCCCAGGTGGTGGTGGTGGTGGTGGGGAGGGGCGGTGCCCAGGTGGGGAGGGGGCGGTGCCCAGGTGGGGAGGGGGCGGTGCCCAGGTGGGGGGGGCGGTGCCCAGGTGGGAGGGGGCGGTGCCCAGGTGGTGGTGGTGGTGGTGGTGGGGAGGGGGCGGTGCCCAGGTGGGGAGGGGGCGGTGCCCAGGTGGTGGTGGTGGTGGTGGTGGGAGGGGGGTGCCCAGGTGGGGAGGGGGCGGTGCCCAGGTGGGGAGGGGGCGGTGCCCAGGTGGTGGTGGTGGTGGTGGTGGGGAGGGGGCGGTGCCCAGGTGGTGGTGGTGGTGGGGAGGGGGCGGTGCCCAGGTGGGGAGGGGGCGGTGCCCAGGTGGGGAGGGGGCGGTGCCCAGGTGGTGGTGGTGGTGGTGGGGAGGGGGCGGTGGGGAGGGGGCGGTGCCCCGGTGGTGGGGCCCGGGAGAGGGGGCGGTGTTACGTGGGCTGTGCGTGCTGTTGATTGACGTGCGCGGGGCGGCGCGCGGGGCTGTGCAGGTACCGCAGCGCAGCGCGAGCGCGAGAGAGAGAGAGAGAGAGATGCAGCGACTGGTGGCGGTGTCGGTGGCCGCTGCGGGACCGAGAGCCGAGAGCAGCCGTTGAGAGTCACAGCGCCAAAGCCCCGGCTCATGGGGGGGACGATCCTGTCCTGACTGAGGAGCGAGCAGAGGGGGTGGGGTGGGGGAGGCCGAGCCCGAGGTGGTTTGAAGTGAACTCGCAGAAAAAGAAAAAGAACCCATCGCTCTGAGCTCTGGTCGGTATCACTCCCGCTTCTGCATCTCTAGCAATGGGGAGGGGGGGTTTGGAGGTGTGTGTGTGTATTGGGGGTTGGAGGGGATTTGCCCCTCACTGTTAGTTGGTTGTTAGTTGGGTTGGTTGAAAGCTCATACTTTCAATGCAACACCTTGGTTGCTCTTTGCACTCTCTCTCTCTCTCTCACTCACTCTCTCTCACTCACTCATTTACTCACTCACTCACACTCTCTCTCTCATTCACTCTCACTCATTCATTCACTCTCTCTCTCTCTCACTCACTCACTCACTGCTCTTATTTCTTTCCTTTGTATTATTGTATTATTGTATTGTATTATTATTATTTTTTTCTCTTTTTTTAAAAAAAAACAAAAGAAACGTTGATATGTTCCTTCCCCTTCCCCTCCCACCTCATTCCCTCCTCCCTTCTCCGTCCGGGGAGGGATTGCCAGACTTTCCTTAGGTTGTGTGTGTGTGTGTGTGTGTTGTTGTGTTGTGTGTGCGTTTTGGAAGAAGCAGTCTGGCCATTGCAAAAGGAAAGCGGGGACAGCAATCAGTGACAGTACAAGGGATAAGGAAGGCGGGATGATGTTTCGGCAATCGGCAGTAGTTTCTGGGGGGTGGGTGTGGGGGTGTGGGGGTGAAGGGGAGGGAGGGAGAGAGCTAACTCTAAAACTCAGTCAAACCACCCACCCACTCACTCACTCACTCATTCGCTCACCCACTCGCCCTCTCAGACTCCGCTGAAGCCGGGGATCTTCGCAGCGTTGAGAGAAGTAAAGTCAGTCAGTTTAAGTAAGTTAGAGAGAGAGAGACCAGACCAGACCAGACCGTGCAAACCTTCCCCCCCACCCACCCCAGTCAAACAGTCCATCATAAATAACCCGCTGGAGGCGATGCTCGAGTGGGAAACTGCGGTCACAGCAGCAGCAGCACAGGGGTGAGGGTTACGCGTTGTGGATCCTGTGTTGAAACCCCACCCCACCCATCACCCCACCCACCCACCACCCCCCTCTCCTCCCCTCCCCGGACCGAAACAGGTTTGGCAAGATTTTTTTTGTGTGTAAACCGTTTATTTTGCAAACGCTTATTTCGGATGAGAACTTCGTCCTTCCCGAATATTTTTTGTTATTTAAAAAAAAGGAGTGGGGGGGTAGGGGTGGGTGGGGGGGGGGTGTTTGATCTTTCCTTGACAGCGTAGTTGGCTTCTCTTGAGTGCAATAGGGACAACCCTCCCTTTGCATGAGTCGGTGTGCGCTGTGAGTGCAGCGATATGGATACGGATCACACAGCGAAGGAAACTGTAGCAACTTTCCCTGTCAGCTTCTCGCGTGTGTGTGTGTTTTCTTGGCTCGCACTTCAAACACAACCCGGGTTGTGTAACTTGGCTCAGATGGTTATAAGGAAAAAACACGGACAATGTTTTCCAAACAGTGTGAGAACAACCATAATAATCTTTCCAACTGCAGTATAAAGTTTGCGCCAAAGGTGGTGGTGGTGGTGGGGGTGTGTGTGTGAATACAATTGTATCCCAAGTGTTAAGAGAGACTCGAGCGCAGTAAATATTATCGTCTGCAAACACAAAACGTTGACATGGTTTCCGTACTCTAAAATGCCACACTTGCAACCAGGATCTTTTTGATAGTGTACTAAGCCATTTCCATCATGCTGGGGTTTTTTTTGCGCCCTGTTGTCTTGGAAGAGTTGACGATCCCTCTGTGCGAGGAAGCTCAGCCGATTTCAGCAAAGACTGTCGTTAATTGGGCAGTTCTCAGTAGTTCTGGCAATTCACATGTGTTTCTTGATTTTTTTTCTTTTGCTCAGGTACATTTAGAAACTCCCCCCCCCCCCCAAGACAGTTCTGTTCCTCTCCCTCCCCTTGCCCACCCCATAAGAAAACTTGATGTCGTACTTAACACACACATTTAACTCCAACAAACTGAAATTGACCCGCAGAAACAGATGTTTAGTCGATTACTTCGTTTATTTAGCAATACATCAGCTGTGGTGAAATTGGGTCTTTCAACTATTTTAGTAGTTGTAATGCAAATACTTATTTGCAATTATTTGAAGTCAACCTGTTTAAGGATAACTTGATTTACTTTAACAATTATTTTGAATTCTCTAATGCCTACTTAGATTTTTGGGGCCTCATTTAATTCCAGTGATTATGCTCAGTATCATTCTCAGACTGACCAGGAGGAGGCAGAAGTGCCACTGGGTGCAATGCAACCACGTCTGACATGGTTTAATATGCTTTTGTAGTTGTGCAGAAACATTTCGTTAATTCACCCTCAAAACTAGGGAGTCCTTTAACTCAGTGGTTAGAGCACTCGCTTTGCAAGCGAGAGACCTGAGTTCAATTCCAGGCAGAGGGCGAAACCTTGGGCAAGTTTCCTTACTCCACACGCCTAATAATAATCCCTCCAAAACCAAAAACAATAATAAATTGGTCATTTTCAATCTACAACTGTTTGTGGGACATTGCTGTGCGCAATTGGCTGCCGCGTTCGCCCACAAATATACAGTCAATTCACTTTATAGTGTGTTCTGTGAAGCGCTTTGGGACGTCCTCCCAACGTGAAAAGCGCTATATCAATGCAAGGATTATTATTATTATTAAAAGATAATAACACAGTATTAAGGGTTCATGACACTTCTGAACATTTATGTGAAGCTATTCATTGGGAGATTTGTCAGTAGAGATGGAAATTTAATCTCTGAAATCTATTGGTTAGCATTTTTTTAAAAATGTGTTAATTGTAGGAGTATCTTGGCAGTGGAAGTAGTGTGAATGAAATCTGTTTCCGATTGAACCTGAGGGCAAATTGTGGAATGGTTTCCAACCGCATGGCTAAGGCCATGAATGTGAGCTCCTGTAAGGGCTGGAATGACACAAGGACAGTTGTATTTCGAGAGCATGTTAAGCCTTTAAGGAGAATGCAAGGATTATTGTTACAAGTGTTTTGGGGAAACTATTGTAAATAAGATGACAGTGCTTAGCAATGAAATGTAGTAATAATAATAATCCTTATTTGATATAGCGCCTTATCACATCTTCGAGAGTCTCAAAGTGCTTCACAGAATATACCGTAAAGTGAATTGACTGTATATTTTGTGAACGAAATGCCTCAAATTTTGTGGCATACAAACTCATCTTTGTGATCAGGATTGATTTCATTATTTATTACTGTTTTTGTCCTGAATGTTTTTCTTCTCCTGGGTCATTATATCGTGTGCATATCTCTCTTTTCCTGTTTTCCTCATCTTGGGCTTCTATTTTACAATTTGGCATCTGCTCATCTTTTTAATAATGTCTCTTCTAAGTATTTTTTAAAAAAAATTATCATCCCTTCTAGGTTTTTTCCATGGTTCACTAAGCATCCCATTCTCTCATCTGAACAATTTTTCCTTTTCCATATCAATTTAAATGTTCCATTCTTTTTGGAATTGTATTATCCTCTTCTTTCACTTACAGAATTAGTTTCCTGATTTTCTTTCATCACTTCTAAATGGTGTAATTGAATTATTCATAAAAATATTGTAAATGTTTGCACTAGCGCAATATAAAAGATATTTAAGGTCAGAGAGGGAGTTGTGGGGGAAGAGGAGGCTTAATGAAGTTTAATCTATTGAAATATAGTGTTCGGAACGCATGATAAATTTTCACTTCCTAACCAAAGGCACTGAGTCCTGTATGTGCTGTGCTGACTGAGATCAGCTAACTTTGTACTGACTGGGAGTTTAACCTGCAATCTTCCTTGCCTCTATGGCCTCAGTGTTCGACTGATTGATTCACATTGTTCTTAATAGCAACGTCCTTCCAACCAAACTGAGAAATCCATATGTAGGTGGGATGCATGGAATTCTCAGTTTGGTTTGGATACACTTAAGCACGGGGACTTAATCGCATGTATCGGACACCCAGCTGACCAAAAATTAAAAACAGCGTGAGTGATGCTATTTTATGCTTCTAATTTAAACACTGGAGGCCAATCCCCAGCCTTTTTGGAAAACTCACCAGGCATGTAATAGCCAACTTAACCCTTATTGAAATTTCATTGCAATAAGTTTACATATTTTGATGCTTTTTTATGTTAAGTGATTACAGCAGACGTACTGTCAGAAATAATATTTAAAGAATATTTTCCCCTTCAGACCTTTTATATTGCGTTTATAGTGCAGACTCAACGGGGTGAATGACCTCCTCCTGTGCTGTAAATGTTTATGGTTTGAGGACCATGTGTTATTATCTGAGAATTTTACAATCGAGAAGGTAAAAGGATTGTGCTGATTTTCTGCTTGGGTCACTGAGGCAGTGAGTGTCAGTATGTAATTCCACTATGGGAGATAATAATTGTTTGTTTTCTGATTCTGTTTTCACCAGATATCTTTCTAGCCCAGGAAACTGAAACCAATTGCAGAGCACCAAATTGCTGCCCCTGTTTTGACCTGAAAACTATGCGCTCTGTGTATGAAGAGCAGGAAGTAATAATTAGAAGTAGAAAGCTGGCTCAATGAATTTGTTGCAAGCAAGTATGTGATTCAGATCAGTCGAGGCATTTATTCAGAAAAAATATTACCTTTGACCTTATTTTTATAATTGTTCTTGACGTCATCTCAAAGAAAAAAGTTTTTAAAGGTAACTGTTTGATCTCTCCATAGTGTAGTTTCTGCATGCAATTTGGAGCACTGTGGAGTAGGTAGGTGAGTGAAAATAATCACATTTTTCCTATAATAACTGTAATTCAATACTCGAGAAAAAGCCAAGTGTCGAGAGATTTTCTTTCAGACGTGCTACTGTTTTTTTTTTGATCAGCCGGGTGTCTGACACATGCGGAATCCCATCACCATGCTTAAGAGTATCCAAACCAAGGTGAGATTTCCATGCATCCCACCTACACATGGAAATCCCAGAGATAGATTGTTGGAATGGAATGCGCACTCTCTCCCTGAAGGAACACATCCTGCTTACCTAATTCCAGAAAGTATTAGGCGCAGGTTGGCAAGAGCCAAGTCCTGAGGACCCCAGAGTGTGCGTTGGGGTACTGCTGGAGTATAACCAGCTAAAACCGCATAGCTTGCCATTGATATTGCTGTCCAGCAAGCTTTCCCAGCTTGTCCAGCTAGGACCACTCTACCCGTTAAGGCTTTAGCTTGCAGGATTAACAGGATCTGAGTGGGATGACTCCTTGCCCCCAGTTACTGAGTCTGCCCTTCCAAGTTCTGCCGATGATCCAGTCTGACTGTGTTGTCGTCAGCAGTGCCGTGGAATACTGTGGACCCACCTGGTTCAGGAACTGGCCTATCTAAACCACCACAGAGGGCTGGCTCGATTCTGAATTTGGCTGCCAGGCATGGCACCTTGGAGATAGTTCAGCACCAAGGAGACCCTGCCTTATCCCCATTTCCCCCCTCCCCCAAAGAGGATAGACATGTTACTGGTGTACCTGTTGAGGAGAACTTGCACCAAACATAACAAAGGGACATTGTGACTTCATAACTGCTAACAATCTCATGTTTTGTCATATCTGAACCTCGTGGGTCCATGTGTTTGAATAGAAGGAACGTAAGATATACTATCAAAGAATAAGCTTAAGGTGCTCTGTAATCCATCGTGGAAATGAGAGAGGGTGAGAAATTGGAGGAAGGGTAAAAACATGGAAGTGTCTGACCTTAACATGTTTTAGATCCTGGATTTGGAAATGCAGGGTGTTATTCATTTAGAATGCTGGAGAATTTCCCCCTTAATTTTGATTCAGATTCCAGTGTTGATGTTCATGAGCATTATTCTCGGTTTCAAAGAGTCAAAGTGGAGCAAAGGTTGGTGCTGTATTATTGGTCTGCCTCTCGTTGTCATTAGCATACCTTCTAAATATGATGTACTCTTTTACTGGATCTGCTAATACCACCAGTTTGCTGAACATCAATATTGCTTTGATTTTTGTTCTAGTTAAAATGTTGAGAAACTGCTAAGCTAAACTCGTTTTGCTCGACTTTGGGTGTCCAGTTCGAATGTTGCTGCTTGAAAGCAACTTATTGCTAAATTGAATGCAGCAACCATTTTTTTCTATATACTAAATTAATTCACTACCATCTCCGTCAGTAACTATAGATATATAGGGATATTGTATGCACTCTTGTTTTGATATAGTCCTTCAGATGCTATTAAAGGCACCTGGCAATGCTTCAATAATTAAGTAAACCCTGAATGTGTCAATAAATATTTTTTGTCTTTACAGTAATTATTTGCTGGGCAATTCAGACAGCTAAAACATGCAATTCAAATGAGATTTGCTCATTTAGCATGAGAACCAAGTACCCCAATGAAGTTAGGCAACAGGGAGAAAATTGAGGAAAATTATCTTATTCACATTTGGACCCAAGCAAATATTCTATTGATCATTGAAGAGATGATTTATGCTGGGTTTCACTCAGAGAGCTGTATACATTTACCCTTTGCTGGCAAAGGGAGGAAGAGACTTTGTAAACGGGGAAACTTTAGGCCTTTTATTTGTTGCAGAACCGCTTCAGGAAGTGTGTCTGCAATCCTGGTGCCTGCTCCAGCTACAGGAACTGTGGTGGGTGCTGGGGAGAGAAGAGGCGAGAGTGTACAGCAGCTGACTTCACTTTATTACAAATGTGTATATGTAATTGCTGCTGTGCACTGTGGATAGTGTTTGAAAGCCTTGTGGGACGTAGTATATGTTCATTATTTGCATACCTTTATTTGTAATGCTTAAGCTGTGTGAGGTAGCAACTCTTCGTAATGTATATTGGATTGATGTAATGTAATCCTTGCATTTGATACAGTGCCATTCACATCAGGAGAAGTCTTGAAGAACTTCAGAAGATTCACTGAAGTATAGTGAATGTGTAGTGACAATTTGCACAAAGCAATGTCCCATAAACAGCTGTGTAGTGAAACGCCAATTTTGTCTGTGGGATAATAATATAATTATAATCCTTGCATTTAATATAGCATCTTATCACATCTTCGAGGTGTCTCGAAGTGCTGCACAAAATATACTGTAAAGTGAATAGACTGTATATTTTGTGGACAAAACGCAGCAGCTAATTGCGCACAATAGAATTCCACAAACGGTTTGGATTCAGTGACCACATTATTATTTTAAATATATATACATATAGATTTTTGAAGGGTTTATTATCCCTGGAAAAGCGATCAGCCAATCAACTAACAAGCAACCAGGCTCCAACTTACTGCTAAGTAAACAGAGAATGTGTGGAGTAACGAAACTTCCATAACCCGTTTCACCCTGTCCGGGAATCGAACCAGGGTCCTCTTGCTTGCGAGGCGAGAGCTCTAACCATTACACTATAGGACTGGGGGATTGTTAGCCAGGACACCAGGAGAAACTCACTTCTCTTTTTGAATATTGCCGTGTGATCTTAACATCCACCTTAACAAACAGACTCAGGTTAAACTGTCATGCGAAGGCTGATGATTCAGTACAATACAGTACACTCCAGTACTACATTTGAGTGTCAGCTTAGATCACAAGTTAAAAGATGCAATTTGGGGCTTGAACCCTCAACCTTCTGACAAAGAGGCGAAAGTGCTACCAGCTGAGCCAGGCTGTCAATTTGATACATGAACTTGCTTGTACTGCACATCCAGCAGGGTACCTGTAGTGGATGTGATGCTGGGCTTAAGCACATAATTACCAACAATCAGTGCTATACAGTACATATTTGTTATCTGGTAGTATCTGTGGGATATCACTATACCAGAGTCCAGACCAAGCCAGATATTGCATTACCAAATAATAGGTTTATTTTGTCTGTGATGGGTATTGTTTAAATAAATCATTGAACAATTCAGTATCAAGTAGTTGGGCTTTAATTAGCAAAATACAGCAATTGATAATGTACTGGTCCAATTGAGGTTTACAAAAACAGAGGAAACCCGTGGTTCTTATTGTTTTAAATCATGACTCAACAGGAGCGATGCTGATTATTTTCAACTTTTCCCATAGTACTTTGATGAGATGAAAAGCTGTGATCCACAGACTATCTGCTGCTGTAAATTGTGGCATTCCGAAGGGACAATGGACATCTTACCTACATAGATCTGACTTTTGGTTGTCTGTGTTTAAGTTTCATTATTTTGCATTCCTGATGTCTCATTATACATGATCTAGACCAGCTTTAAAGATGCATAGCGTAGTGTGTAGTCAATGCGGAGACAGTTCAGAGTAAACAGTTAACAGATGTGCTGTAGATCTGGAACCATTCTGCACATTCTTTAACAGGGAAAATGCTTCTTGTAGAAGCGGGATGTTTTCGATTTCAAAAAAAGCATTCTATGCCCGTGAACAGAGGCAGTAATATCAGTTGGGTGATTCCACTCTTATCAACACATGGGACCAGGTACTTTGCCAAGATTAAGGCACTTGGGTTCCATGTGAACACTGTACTAGCTTGCTTCATTACAATAAATTTAATCCATTCTTGGCTGGACTGCTTTAGTGCCATATGGCAAGTGTTGTTACAGAGAGTGAACACATGGATTTCAGTTAGTTAGTCCTATATAGATTTTGGTTCTTGCCAGACAATTGTGGAGCACTGGTGTGATTCGACAGAGGGCATGGGAGCAATAAATGCCATCATTTAGATTCTTCTGTCTTTTTTTTAACCCCATTTTCCTATCTATGAACCTACCCAAAAGAACACAGGTTCTGCAGTTTTTACATTTTCCTTTCTGATAGTTGGTGGATTGGTTGTAAAATTGCTCAATGCATAATTCTCACTCATCTTTCCAAATTAATGCTCCAAGAAAGTAAACATAACTTTAAGACCTAAATACAGATATGATATGTCATCAAAATTCAGTTCTGTTGTTTCAAACGTTGTGGGTCTGTTTCCTCATGTTAGCACTCGATATAAAGGATTTTTCAGGAAGATAAACTTTTTCAAACAGCACTGAGAGTTCTGGGGGCTGGGATTTGACTCTCTCAGCCTGTCTCACTCACCTCTGAGTTGGAAGGTTGTGGGTTCAAACCCCACTTTGGTACTTGGAAGCACATAGCCTAAGCTGACACTCCCAATGAGGTGATGGAGGTGTGTTGCATTGTCGGAGGTGCCATCCGTTGGATGAAACATTTAACCGAGATCCAGTCTGACTGTTCAGGTGGACGTTAAAGATCCCATAGCATTATTTGAAAAGGGAGAAGATTTCTACTGGTGTCCAGGCCAACAAATTCCCTAAATAAAAGTGATCACTCATTCCATGCCTGTTTGTGGGACATTGCTGTGCACAAACTGGCTGTTGCAGTTCACTCACAAAATATACAGTCAATCCACTTTACAGTATATCCTGTGAAACGCTTTGAGATGTCTTGACAATGTGATAACTGCTATATCAAATTCAGAGATTTTTATAATGAATAAAAATACAACTTGACTGAGATGTGGGTTAGTTCAGATTGGGTCTAGATAGGTGGAGTTCAATTGGGTCGCATGAGAAAAACATCTAGCTTAAATTGATGGGATGAAAGCCCATGTAAAGGATTGTTGGACCATGAGTCAATTCCAAATCAAGCACGCACTGCTGTTCCTTCCTGAGTGCTGCATGTGTGCATTATATGCAGGAAATGACATTCATGGTGCTTCATGTACATAACAAGTATCCATGCAATTTTTCTTTAAATGTGTCATGAAATAAATACATGGTGAATAATTCCTTTCCTGCAAATGGGCAATGACATTTTCAGGCATGGGATTTTAGTAATTCATTTGGATAATATGGATTTGTGAGTTTTGAGATTGTAGATTTACTGCCTTCTGGAGATTTGGAGCTTGATCTGCATCTTTGGGTTGCATGTAATTAAGCAAAACGTTGCAGTTTAATGCTCCATTCTTGTTAGTATTGGGTTGTAATATTCGTTAACACTTTTACATTTAACTTTTACTAAAAGTGGAACTTATTTTGTGTTGAAGCACAATAATCTTTGGATTAATGACATCTACTTCGTACTGCCTGCGGTGAGGCTTTCTTTACTTTCTGCTTCAGTGGCAATGAAAACATGAGAAAAGGTTAAATCTGCCAACCTGGTGCAACTTATCTTCAAATAATGAAACCTGATAAACGGAGAGAATGCATTGATTTGGCGCGGACTGTTTTGGGGAATAAACCAAAACAGGACATTGATCCCTTAGTTAGTTGTAGTACAGTGTTGCCATCCACTGGAAGAGTCTGTGATTTTTCTGTGAGAATTAGCCCACACCTTGATTCTCGTTCTCCTTGAACCTTGCCTTGTCCCAGTCGCAGAAATGGAAGCATTAAACACAAATAACTTTACAGCTGAATGTATAATGCTATAAAATTCTCCCAATTTTAATATGTATAAGTTTGGCAGTTACCAAGCATGACTTTTTTTTAAAAAAACAGCCTGCTCTATACACTTCATCTAAATTGTACTAAAGTAAGGTTTACAGGATTCCTGATTTGTTTTAAATAACCTGTTGAATAGTTGGCCAAGTTTTAATATCTTCCCTCTTTCCTTCAGGTGTTGTATGTCAGCTGCCTTTCCCAGTCCACGATGAGTGCCAAATCAGCCATCAGCAAGGAGGTTTTTGCTCCTCATGATGAACGGATGCTTGGAGCAGCCCAGGTCAAACGAAGAACCAAAAAAAAGATTCCATTTCTAGCAACGGGGGGTCAAGGGGAGTATTTGACCTACATCTGCCTCTCAGGTAGTTAATAATAATAATAATAATCCTTGCATTTGATGTAGCGCTTTTCACGTTGGGAGGACGTCCCAAAGCGCTTCACAGAACACACTGTAAAGTGAATTGACTGTTTATTTGTGGGCGAACGTGGCAGCCAATTGCGCACAGCAATGTCCCACAAACAGTCATAGATTGAAAATGACCAATTTATTATTGTTTTTGGTTGGAGGGATTATTATTAAGCTGCTTTTGTCGGCTGTTTCTGTGTTCTCCTTTCATTATTGACATCTGAATACTTTTATTAATGTCATGAGCTCCTAAAAGAGATTACATGTGCATTATTTTGTTAAAAAAAGGTGAATATCACTCATAGAGAGGAAATGAGTGACTCACTGGAATTGATGGTATTGCACAGTGCAAAACTTTGGGTAAGTATGCAATTATTAATCGTTTCTCTGCTGTATGAACACTTTGCTCAAGGTGTTTGATGGTTTTGATGGATTCTAAAAAGTTGTATCACTATCTGTAATGATAACAATAATTGATTTTACAGGTCTGAATACTCAGCCTCTTAGGATTTGCTGTGTTTCGCTTCAGAATAACACAGTGGGGCCGCATTTTGATGGTCAGGTGTGCAGGGTTGAGTGGAAATTGCTCAGTGAAGGATAGGTGCAGGAAATCTCAAGTGAATCACTGCAGTCTGCTGCCACTGAGCACCTGGCAGTCATCTTATAACAGCTAACAATACAGGATTAGGGAAAGCTTGGCAACCAAAACTGAAGGTCACCTTCAATTTCCAAATAACTGTACTTGATGTAAGTTTGAGTGTCTACAATTTTACTACTATTTGTTGTGAAATCTACTTTGCGCTATAACTGGGTGAATTTCACAGCCGTTTGGGGTATTGTGGAGCTGATTTCATTTAAAGTGGATCTACAATCTAAACGTGCTGTGAGATGGAGGAAATCTTCCTTTGCAACTTTCCCTTTTTAGATCAATGGACAGAATTGTAACTTGTCTGCAGCCCTTATTCCCAAAGCTTTTACCAGTGCACTGAAATGTAGAGTTAAGCAAAGAGTTACGCATTTGTAAATCGAATAGCCCAACAACTTTATTTTTTCAGATGAACAAAATATTTTTGAATAAGGGCCAAGAGCTGAATACATGGTCAAGTATCTGCCAACATGAGGTTGTTAATGTGGTGATCAATCCATCAGGTTGCATCACAAGGTGTTCTACACAAATGTGTTGTACATAATCATGGGGAGTTTTGATCTGAGTAATGAAGGCTGACAAAATGCATTCTGTCTTGGGCTCCTGTTGTAATTAAGTATGTAAAAATATTGAGATAGAATTTACATGAATGTTTGTTGTATATTTTGTTGTGTTCTTTGTTGGTGGTTAATTAATGGTTAGCAGATATCGTGTGTCTGTTTTTAATTGGCTGAAACGTTGGGGGTCCAGTCAATCAAGAATATCATGTTGAGTCCAATAGAGTTGAGTTTCCTGTGCAGTTTTCACAGTGGCCAATTAACCTTGTGTCCTTCAGTTTAAGAGCAATTACTTTGTTCTTAAAGACTACTGCAGCTATTGTCAGAATGACTTGTGTGAGGTCCTGTTGTAATAGGAGTGTCTGTGTTGCCTTCTGCCTTGCAATTTGAACATTCGCATGGTTTATAGATTGATCAATGACTGGTTGGTAAACATGAAATTCGGTGGGGGTTGTTGTGAAGGTTATTTTGTTGAAGCAAATGGATTTTCATTTATTTAACATTGATGCATTTGGCATGGATTAAATGGAATGTTTCTTGATTAGTTGGTTGCATTTGTTTATTCTCAATACACTAATGGGTGGCAATGTCCTATGCATTGATCTGTGAAAGGCAAATGATGCTGAGAGAATGGGAAATAACTTGCCAAACTTAACTCTGGTAGATGTGTTCTTGTTTATTTTAATAAATTACTCGATGGTTGAATGGACAGATCTAATTTCACTTGAGTTAACAATTTCATGATTCTCTGCCATTTGCTGAATTAATGTAAGTCTTTCTTACCTAGTACAGTGATCGTGTGTAGTCTGATATTTATAGTTCTTGAGGTTTTGTTTAGTTCCTTCAATTTCTTATGTTGTTCTCTCTGATGTTCTAGTGATAACCAGGTCACTAGGATGAGCAGAGAAACTTTGCTCCCCATTGGGGGTGGGGGGCACCACTTAGTGCAACACAAGAGAACGCACATTGGAAAGTTGCAGGTTAAAATCTCCATCTGTGTTGAATTAGCTGATTTCAACCAAGGGACAGAAGTTGGAATGTTACTATAAGTGTCCTTTGTGTGCTTGGGGTTGGGGTGGGCGGAGGGAAATCAGCCAGCATTCCTGATCTGGATCTCTTATCAGATTTCATTTGCACAAGCAGATGACAGAGGTTATTGTTGGTTACACCCACATATTTGGATGATTGGGTTTATTCCCCGTTGATATGGTAAAAAGGAGCCATGCTCACATTCACTTGTAGTAAACTGGTCCAACTAGATCTCTTGTGTTGGATGGAACATCTGCTACACCAGTCTGCCGCAGCGTAGAAAGCTGTGCTTTTCATATTGATTCCATTGATTTAGATGACTTTTTGTGTTTGTGTACGTTCTAGTAGTAGAACTGCAAATGCAGTGAGCGAAGCTGGTGTGAAAGTCTGGTGGGGAAACTTCTTCTGTAAGTGGCTGATGCGATGAAACTGGTGAGAAGAAAGGGAATTGTTAACTGGTATTAAAACTTGTGCAATCAATACATGGATTGGGTTGCATGTTGGAGCGAATGTTCCCACCTCCTACCATTGATTTGTCCAGTTCTGTGAAGTGGGAGATTAGCGTCAGGCTGGTTATGCAAGCTGGTCTCTGTACCTGCAGCTGTTTGAGTGAGCGCCACCCACGGGAAAGCACTTACAGCGGGTGCTGCTCTTCATCCTGCACTTTAGTTTTGAAAATGTTGTCTCCCTTCTGACTTCTGTGTGAATCTTGTGACTTGTTTTCTATGGGTGGTGAAGTCTGAATTCAGGGATTTAAATGGGTCCCTGGTGCTGCTCTGTCTTACAACTCTATTTTTATATAGCAGAGATTCAATTGAGACAGTGACAGGGAAACACTTGCTATTGGCCTTTTTTTATTCTTGGCCAGGGATAGATCGGAGCAGATTTGGTTTATTGTGGGCAGAGAGTAATAACAGTCACAATGGTAGTTAGCCAGGAATACCTGCAGATGAATGTGCAGAGACAGAGGTCTCTGAAAGTAATCTGGATTGTTTTGGTCATCATGGTGGCAAGCTCTACGATTAGCATAAACTGATCTGCATGAATTTTTATGATACATTAGTATAAACTTTAGCATCAATTGCAAACTCTTGCGATTTCATCACAATATCACGTATAAGCTGACTTTAGGCAGCTCTTGAATCTTGAATCTTGGAATTGTATTAGGGGGTGTGTGTGTGTGTGTTTCCTGATCTTGTGATCTACTGACTGACGTGTAAGCTGATTACATTGAGATGAATCTACCAGTCATAACATAACATGTAGGAGCAGGAGTAGGCCATTCGGCTCTTCGAGCCTGCCCCGCCATTCAATCATGGCTGATCTTCTAATCTAACTCCAGCTAATAACCTAACCCTGCCTTATCCCCATATCCCTTAATCCTTTTTGCAATAAGAAATCTATCTATCTCAGTCTTGAATATGTTCAAGGACTGAGCGTCAACAACACTTTGGGGTAGCGAGTTCCATACATTCACTACCTTTTGAGTGAAGAAGTTCTTCCTCAACTCAGTGCGAAAGGGCTGGCCTTTGATTTTAAGGTTGTGACCCCTGGTTTTAGTTTCTCCAACCAGGGGAAACAATCTCCCACTATCTACTCTATCATGCCCTTTGATGATCTTATAGGTTTCCATAAGATCCCCTCTAATTCTTCTATATTCTAGAGAATATAGGCCGAAATTGGTCAGGCTATCCTCATAACTCATCCCCTTCATCCTGGTACTAACCTAATAAATCTACGCTTCTCCCCCTCCAAGGCAAGTACATCCTTCCTTAAATAAGGAGACCAAAACTGCACACAGTATTCCAGGTGTGGTCTCACTAGGGCTATACAGTAGCAACAAGACTTCCCTCCTCTTATACTCTAATCTTTTCATAATGAATGCTACATACCATTCGCCTTCCTAATTGCTGCTGCACCTGCAGACTAACTTTCTGTGATTGGTGTACAAGGACACCCAAGTCCCTCTGGACGCTAACACATTCCAATCTCTCCCCTTCTAAAAAATAGCCCGCTCTACTGTTTTTGCTACCTAGGTGGATGACTTCGCACTTCCCTACATTATACTTCATCTGCCACCTACCTGCCCAATCACCTAACATATCTATGTCTCACTGTAGTTTTTTAATGTCATCGTCTGTGTTGACACTTCCTCATAGTTTTGTGTCATCCGCAAATTTAGATATATTAACTTCGATGTCCTCATCTAGATAGTTGATGTAGATGGTAAATAGCTGAAGCCCAAGGACTGATCCTTGTGGCACTTCACTAGTCACATCCCGCCAATCTGAAAAGGACCTGTTTATCACTACTCTTTGTTTCCTACCCGTTATCCATTCCCCAATCCACGTTAATATGCTCCCCCCAATTCCATGGGCCCTTATCTTTTGGACTAACCTTTTATGCGGCACCTTATCGAATGCCTTCTGGAAGTCTAAATAGACCACATCCACTGATTTACCCTAGTTTACTCAAAATATCCTCAAAAAACTATGAGATTTGTCAAACATGACTTACCTTTTGTAAAGCCATGTTGACTTGGCCTAATTATATTGTGCTCCCTTAAATACCGCACTACCACATCCTTAATCAATGATTCTAAATTTTTTCCTATCACTGATGTGAGACTAACTGGCCTATAGTTCCCCATCTTTTCCTTTCCACCTTTTTTAAATAGTGGTGTGACATTTGCGATCTTCCAATCCATGGGGACTGTTCCAGAAT